CCTCCCAGTCCTCAACTACCTCCCTCCCCCTCTTCCTCCCCATCCCTCTCTCCATCTCTCTCCCCCCCTCCCTCAGTCGTTTTACACCTTTTTTTTTTTTTTACGTCCAGCATCGCCAAGCTCATCCATCCGTCGCCCTCAGATTTGCGTTGTCGGGATCCCTCTCCGCTACCATTATACTCAATGCCGCTTAATAGTCGGGATCCCACACCGGTCTGGTCAGGTCGCCTCAAGGGGCCAGAGCAGACTGCATCCTAACACCTTAAAATGGATATACTCCCCGGCACCCTCTCTCTCTCCCCCTTCCCCCCCCCCCCGTCTGCTCCCTCCTAGTCCCTCCAATTTGACTCCCTATCTAGTCGTCCTCCTCCTGGTCCTCTGCCTGATTTGCATCTCCTTCTCCGTCTGCAACCGCCGCTTCTCGTGGCCTTCCTACTTTTTCTTATGTATCTCCTCTCCTCTCCTCTCCTCGCCCTCCCTCCACTTCCTCCTCCTACCCAATCACGCTCACCATAGTTACTCTCCTTCTCTAAACCCTTGCCTTCTACTCCTCGTTTTCCTCCTTACCCCTCTCTCTTTGTTCCTTAACCAAACTCCCCTTTCTCTCCTCCTCTTCCATATCCTCCTCCTCCTCCTCCTCCTCCTCCTCCCGATCCTTACGTTTCTAGCGATCCTCCTACAGATCCTCCTCCTGCCGCGATTCCCCAACCGGACTCCTCCTCTCCTCCTCCTCCTCCTCCTCCTCCTCCTCCTCCTCTCCTCCTCTCCTCGTTGTCCGTCGCGTCACAATTCCCGCACATAATTCTTCCTCCTCGTCTTCATCCTCATCCGCGTACCTTGTCCTCAATACCTTCTTCCCGTGGCCACACTTCTACTCCCTCCTCTCGGTCATCCATGCTCCTTCACCACCGTCTCCTCCCTGCCTCTCCCTATTACTCCCTCGTTAGGAGTTCCAAAAAACGCGGAAGAAGCTACCACACTCAGCAGCAACTGTCGCTGCCATTTTTTTTCTGTTTCTCGGTTTTTCCAAAGTTCATTCATTTCCACGTGCAATCGAACCAATCACATCTGGAGAATGATCGGCAGCGTAACAACGATTGGCAGTTAATTGGCAGACACGTGTTCACCGTAGTAGGGACAATCACTACGTCTCACGTGTTAATTAGCCAATTACCTAATTGGCTAATTGGCACTTCACTTACGACAAAATCGTACGCTGCTTTACTTATATACGTACTCTCTCTCTCTCTCTCTCTCTCTCTCTCTCTCTCTCTCTCTCTCTCTCTCTCTCTCTCTCTCTCTCTATCTATCTATCTTTCTATCTATCTACCTATCTATCTATCTATCTATCTATCTATCTATCTATCTATCGGGCATACAGACAAGCAGTAGAAGGTGGTAAGGCGCCATTCACCCTTGAGCTACCCCCTTCTCGGCCCCGCACCCCAAACCCTCTTTCTCTGTCTCCGCTAATTTTTTTTTGCATGTACATGGGATGAATTGCTGCACACATACACAGTAAAGAATTGATACATACGAAAAAAAAAAAACGATTAATTACATAAAAAAGAAAAAGTATGAATACATACGGAGGCCGCAATCGCTCACGTCCATTCACGAACTAGACAAATACTCCTCATGCAATTGACCATCACCATCAAAACGCACAAATCAACAGTTCAACATTCATACATAAACCCCCCTCTCTGTGTGTGTGTGTGTGTGTGTGTGTGTGTGTATGTGTGTGTGTGTGCGCGCGCGCGTCTGATAAACGTGTGCGCGCCTTCGTTTCATGACGAGGTAAAGGTGTAAAAAGGTCAGTGTACCTAACCACCTCTCTGACCAGATGCGAACCTTCGAGAATTACGTAAACACAAGAACAGTCAACTGCCGACTTACCTGGTGACGATCCAACTAGTGGTCTCAGGAGGTAACGATGTGGATTACACAAACTCTCTCTCTCTCTCTCTCTCTCTCTCTCTCTCTCTCTCTCTCTCTCTCTCTCTCTCTCTCTCTCTCCCCCAACACTTTCCTTTCCCTTCCCTTCCCTCCCTCTCACTATGCGGATCACGTCACGATGAGCACGAAGCGTCGGAAGACAGCAATCCAACGATGCCACTGACTCCAGACTCCTCAAGCCTTTTGCCAACGTAACAGATCGAGCGAGGGTTCGAACCCTCGACCTCTCGCTGGATCCTCGATCACTTAGCTGCCTCGATGTTCGGACTATACGGAGGCGGCGCAGAGAGACGCTAAGATGCTCAATCCCAATCACCTTCTCAACTCTCTCTCTCTCTCTCTCTCTCTCTCTCTCTCTCTCTCTCTCTCTCTCTCTCTCTCTCTCTCTCTCACACACACGCACACACGCACACACACCTACTGCTCTAGGGCTGTCTCTTATACACATCTAGATGTGTATAAGAGACAGAGCTGGCACATCAGGCACCTGCTGGTGGGTGCAGGTCCTGCATGGACCCTCGTTGAGCACGGATATGGCTACTGCGGGTTTTCCCCATAACAATACTATAATATGTTTATTATTAATGATAATAAAAACGGCCTGAAAGGCCGTCCTGCCCAGATTTGACAGGGAATTGAATTGGTTGGGCTTAAAAGAATTATCTTTAAAAAAAAAAATAAAAAAAAAAGGACCGGTAAAAAGACTAGGGGCTGTAGATCGCACATCCCCATCTAGACAAGTTGAGGAGAACAATTCTTTTTTTTTTTTTTTTTCCCCTTGCTAACTGCAAGTTCCACAGTGCGGTAAATCGTAGCAGCAGCAAAAATAATAAATAAACGAAAATTTGACAAAATTAATAGACAGCAGCATCAAGACCAATAGATACAGCAAAAAAAAAAAAAAAAAAAAAGAGTAAATAGACAAATAGCGCCAAGTTTCCACTATCAGCAACCAGGAGGAAGGTCCCACTATCAAACAGTATTGGATTAAAGCGCCTGAATCTGGATGGGTTTTTAACATAGATGCAGAAAAGCAGGTCAATCGTGAATTTGAGCACCTCTCAACAAACACGTCCAGATTCTGGCGTTAAATCCGTCCTATCCTCTTTGCTAGTGGGCCCTCATCCCAGGGAGAAACTGTCACGTAATTAGTGACAAAAAGTTGAGAAAAGCCCACTGGCCAAATAAATGTGAAAAAATCATATTTATTTATGATGGTCATTTCATGGTAAATTTTATTTTTTCCTTTTTTATTAAGGAGACGGATTAAAAAACTGTGTAGCGTGTAAGATTCTATTAGGAAAAAAAAAATCGTATCTCAAGATTTCATTCCCCCCCTTTGTGTGGTCGAGCAGCAAGNNNNTCTCTCTCTCTCTCTCTCTCTCTCTCTCTCTCTCTCTCTCTCTCACACACACACACACACACACACACACACACACACACACACACACGCACACACATCACGATGACCCTGAAGAATGGGAGGGCGGCGATCTGACCTCGTTACCATTGAGCAAGCACCGAAAGGTTAAGGAAAAGGCAGTGAAAGTTTCAACGAACCTTCTCGGGCGAGGGATAAGTGGCCTGACTTTGTCTTGACGAGGGTATCCCGACTCAGTTCGTCTCGGCATGCAACTTCATTGAACCTTCATCGAACCTTCACGGACACGGCTATGACTTGCGGCGAGAGGAGAGCACGGAGACGACGGGGAGAGATCCCAGTCCCAACCCCCGACTACCCTCAAAGTGTGCGCCCTCTTGCCCCCCTTACCTCCCTCCCTCCCTATCTTTACTCTCGCATTGCACCATTTTCCCTTTCTCCTATGGCCACGCCGACCATCATGCCCACCCAAGGGCTGATGAAGCAACAACGACCGGACGATGGGCACCTTTTTCCCCCGAAAACAACGCATCCTAATAACGAATGTATAAAACCTACCTTGCCGGCCAGGTGCAGCAAAAACGAGGTAGGGTCATGCCCACCCAAGGGCGGATGAAGCAACAACGACCGGACGATGGCTACGTTGTTCCCCCGAAAACAACGCACCCTGATAACGAATGTATACAACCTATCTTTCCGTCCAGGTGCAGCCAAAACGAGGTAGGGTTGTGTTCGGGGGAAGACGGTGGCGACGCAGCGACGGCAGAACGGCGGAGTACCAGCGGCTTTCGAAAATCGACCGACCAAGAAAAGAAAAGAAAAGAAAAAAAATTTCGAAAATCGACCGACCAAGAAAAGAAAAGAAAAGAAAAAAAATTAAAAAAAATCGACCGACCTTAGGGCATAATACTCACACAGGGAATTTTCGTTAGACGGAAAATTGCGTCCAGATGCATTGAGGTTAAGGAAAGTGCTAGAGTGTGTGAGCACCCGCGTGATCGCCATTGGAGCCTGGCAATCGACGGCGGGACCATGGGCCTCAATCCACTACTTCTGTTTTTTTTCCCTTTTTTTTTTTTTTTTGGATCGCTCCACTACTCTCCACATGCACAAAAGACAAAACTCATGGCGGTGTATCTTTCTGTGTTTTAGCAGAAGATTCAGTCTCATTTTGCACATTTCGAGAGTAGTGGAGATAGGCCCCATCATGTTCTTCTTCGGACTCGACGGCGGGCCCCCTGATGTCAGTCAATCAGCGGCGCTTTGCTACAGACAGACATTCAGGGTTGCGCTCGACTACACAGCACTCTGCATGCATTTGGACGCCATAAAACATCCAAATGCATATAGGGTGCTGTTCGCAGCTTCGTCGTCTTTCGTTATACCCGTGGGCCCTTTGGTCGTTGAAAGGCTGGTAAAATGAAAGGCAGGGGCATTTAAGGGGGGGCGGCAGTTCAAGCAAATGCAGGACCGGTATTTGCCTGTGGCATTTTCCTGGGAACCGGTAGGTGGCCGTGGTCCAAAATATTTTGAAACGGCGTGGGGGCCGCAGGTCCTTGAAATTCAAATATGAAACAGCGTGGACCCAGGCCTACAGCCTCATGCCCAGCCCACCCACTTCGGCCCAATCGGCCTGGATGATTTTGTCTGAATCTGGAGGCAGTTCTGAGCCAGATTCAGAAATTGACTTACCGTGAGGGCACGGGTGCACAGCCCGTAGTTCCTTTGGTTATGTGGTTCGGGAAGGGTAAGGTAGTGAATATGCTGTATGTATGTTTTGTCATGTTCGCTATACACAACTCGAAGAGAGAGTGTATGTGGGGTCTCGGTTAATACCTTATTCACGATGTTCATGGGACGCTGGACCCAGTTTCCAGCAGGTGGCGCTCCCCATCAATAGACAGGAGAATGTATGTGCATGTGTGTGTGTGTGTGTGTGTGTGTGTGTGTGTGTGTGTGTGTGT